GTGTGTGTGTGTGTGTGTGTGTGTGTGTGTGTTGGTGTCATCTTTTCGTTTACTTGTTTGTTGGACAGGTGGTATATGATGACGAATCGAAGGTCCTCCCTACTCCTCTTCCCTCCTCTTCCCTCGTTCCTCCCTCATCCGTCATCGTCATAGTCCTTGTCCTCCCTACTCCTCTTCCCTCCTCTTCCCTCCTCTTCCCTTCGTAGGGACTGCAAGTGTCAACAGCAACGACAGGGGCTTGCTGGAAAGATGGACGGTACCGGTAAGGGCATATGGGAAACTTAACTGCTGTTTCTCAACGGGCAGCCGGTAGGGGCATACTGAAAATTTGGTACTGGTACCGGTAGGGGCATATGTAACATTTTTGAGGCCCAAACGACGCCAGGAGTATTCTGGAAACATCATTGGTAAAAAAAAAAAAAAGAAAAAAAAAGAAACGTCATTCGTCGTCAGAGGGGCACGACAAGGTAAGTCGGCCGCCAGAGGGGCACGCTGCAAATAAACGCAAACTTCAGGGGCATTTCGAAAATTTTCCCTTCTTTTTTTTTGTTTTCTCAAGTGTGTTGTTCCTAGGGAAGCGGAGCCCGGCCTTCGCGCAGCGACCGGGCCTTCCCTTGAACGACCCCCCTAGGGCTGCGGCGCGTATACGGGAGTGCCCGCGGCCCATAGCTGAGCGAGGTACTGGTGGTTTAAACAAAGGCGCGAAGAAAGTGTTTACAGGGACGCGGCTCCCAACTCCCGGTGGGGTGGGACAACCTGCCTGTCCTTGATGGTCATTCTGTGCTAATGTGTTTCGCCTTGGGCACTGGGCCCTGGTAATAAAAAATTGATTTTTTCAAAAAAAAAAAAAAAGAAAGGAAAACCAAAACAAGAACAAAGCGTGCCACCAAAAAAGCCTGAAAATTACCAAGCCTACCATACTACCCTCGAACGCAAGCATCTAGCCAGCATCCCACATTAACTCTGTTTGCTCCACATAGTCTACGCGTTTGCTCTGTGTAGTCAGATGGCTCCAGCACCGCTAGAGCACAGGAGCACTCTCATAGAAATTGCCTAACCGCCTCGCACCACAGGCCCGCTCTCTTTCAGAGTAGAGAACAGCCAAAACCACTTCCACGCAGGCCCACTCTCTTTCAAACAGGAAACAAGCCCGCCCTTCACTCCAAAACCACTTCCACTCCCGAACAACGAACTTACCCACTCCCTTTCAAATAGAAAGCAGGCATGCAACAGAGCTTCAAAAATCAAGGAGCAGAAGAAATGGCAGACAAAAAGTCACAACATCGTGCGAACCACTTATCCTGAAGCACTAGCTATTCACGGCATAAATGAAAAACACTAAAGACCAAGATGCCAAAAGAGTCGAAGCCCAAAGAGTCGAAACAAGCAAATCTCACAAAGCACGCTCCATGCATAGTCTTCAAATCTTCAGCCAGGTGCACCATCGGTGCCCTGGTCATAGCTCCATGCATAGCTTCACCGACCGGCCCCAGGTCAATGGTACTTAGTTGATGAGGCCACATTTTGTTTCCCCTTGTTTCGACCAGGTACGTCATACATGGTACTATCTGATGGAACTCGGTACCTCATTGACCAGGTCCGTGGTACTTGGGCTAGGTACTTCGCTGATTGGGCGTGGGCGGGGGCAGGGGGCAACGGATTTGCTTTTCTTTTTCTTTTTTTTTAAACATTGGAATTTTATTTCAAACGGGCCCAGTGCCCAAGGCTTACATCAACATAGCAAGGAGTAGTGTAAAAATAGCAGAGGGCACCTGGCCTCGGGTGCACTCCCCAGCCCGAGCCAGCCATCCCTCTGTAGAAAATTACGAAACAAAAGCACGTCTCAACTATTCCTAATACGACCTAAAAGCCGTCAATTCTGAAACGACTATAAAAAACAAATATCAAAAGCGTTCGTCAACCCACGATAAAAGCCAAAGCAAAAACACCAAAGATCATATCAGTAAAACGGATAGTGAGCACAACCATCAAAGCCCTACAACTGAAACCTAAAGCAAAAGAAAACCAAAAAGTGAGGGACTGGTACAGCCTAACACATCTCGGCAATCTAATTTCAAAAACTACCTAGATGCCGTAAGATCGCGAACCACGATAAGAGCCAAAGCAAAAACACCAAAGATCATGTCACTAAAACGTATAGTGAGCACGACCACCAAAGCCCTACAACTAGAACCTAAAGCAATAAAAAAAAAAAAAAAGTGAGGGAAACCTACCCCGTGGGTTAAAAACAAAAACAAAAGCACTAAAAAGCGTACCACCAGCATGTACCGAACAGTGCTTCAAGTATTACAGAGCAGAAGGAAAAAGAAGAGAAACAGAAGCGAGAACCTAAACCTACCGTACTACGCACAAAAACATCGGGCCCGCATCCCGCACAAAATTAGCTCCATTTGCTGTGTGTGGTGGAGCTTTTTTTCTTTTCGACCGACCGGCCCCAGGTCAATGGTACTTAGTCGATCAGGCGACTTTTTTTCCCCCCTTGTTTCTTCACTGAGCGGACCAGGTTACCCTGGGGCGAGGTCCCACTAGCAAAGAGGACCTGATCGAATGTCTGAATCTGGACGTGCTTGTGGCGAGGTGCAGGAAATCGAGATGGAACTGCTTTTCTGCATCCCTGCGTAAAACACATTCAGATTCGGGAGCTTGATCCTATCCTCTTTGCTAGTGGGACCAGGTTACGCTGAGTTATTTTGTTCCATCGCAATTCGAACTCAAGTCTATGGGCCTCGCTCAACTATTCTCGACATGTGCAAAACAAAAGTGAATCTTCCGCTAGAACATAGAAAGATACATGGCCATGATTTTTGTCTTTTGTGCATGTCGAGAGGAGTGGAGCGAGGCCCCGCCACACCACTCTCGAAATGTGAAAAAGACAAAATTGAGGCGGATGCATCTGGCCAGGTTGGGGCAGGAAGTTCATTCTCATTTTGCACATTTCGAGAGTGGTGTGCCGATGCCCATAAAAGACAAAATTGAGGCGGGTGCATCTGGCCATGTTGTGGCAGAAAGTTCATTCTCATTTTGCACATTTCGAGAGTGCTGTGGCCATGCTCATAGTTGATGGGTGTGCTTGGTGATGCGCACTTCACTGACTCCGCCCAACCAATTGAACTACCTGTCAAATCTGGACAGGATGGCATTTCAGGCCTTTTTTATTGCCATTATAGTATTACCGGGAACCCTGTAGCAGCCACATCCATGCTCAAGCCTCCAACGAGGGAACATACAGAACTGACTCGGCCCAACCAATTGAACTACCTGTCAAATCTGGACAGGATGGCCTTTCAGGCCTTTTTTATTGCCATTATAGTATTACGGGGAACCCTGTAGCAGCCACATCCATGCTCAAGCCTCCAACGAGGGAACATGCGAGAGCTGCACCCACCAGCAGGTGCGATACCTGCTACAGCAGGTGGGCGATACCGGCC